TCTGCTGCGCTGGTGGACTTTCAAAAGTTCTGAAATATAGGGCGGTGCAAGGCCATTCAAAGCTTTAAAAACAAACAGCAGCAGCTTGAACTGTGTCCTGAACTGAACCGGGAGCCAGTGCAAAGAAGAAAGGACCGGAGTGATGTGTTCAAATTTACGTGTGTTAGTCAACAAGCGAGCAGCAGTTTTGTACAAGCTGTAAACAGGAGATAGAAGATTAATACTGATATATAAGGCGTTACAGTAATCAAGCCTAGATCTTAAACTGGACTCCAAAAGTTGATCAGTTGTAGATGGACATCTATAATTTACTTCCCAAAAGTTTCAATAAATTCTGTTTTTAGTTCATGGTGTATTTTGCTAACATAGTTCTATCTTATCTGATACGAACACACACATGCACACACATGCACACACATGCACACACATGCACACACATGCACACACATGCACAGTTGAAAACATTGTCACCCTGTGGTGGCGGGGGATAAAAATCCTGCCAGGAGTTCACTTCACTCTTCTGGTCTCGATGATCCGTTCTTGCCTTGTACATTTTAACCTCATGTCTGTCAGTGGGATTTATTTTAAATTGTTAGACTGCATGAAGGAACGCACTCAGATTTTAGCACGTGCAGTGGTGAACACACAGCGCCCTCTGGTGACAGAGCACAAAAACTACACATTGGTTTTGTCTTTTATTCAGATATTAAAACACATTACAAATTATGTATGCAAACTCTCATTTGTTAAATTAAATTATCGAACGAGTCTTGTGAGCTGTAATAAAGAGCGTTAAATTAAATCCACACTTACACCTCAGTCTGAAAACCAATAAATATGTCACTACAGGTGTAACACGCAGGCAGATCCGACAGGAAGCATGTCTGTTCTTTTAAATCCTAACTCAGCAGTGCAAGTTAAAAAAAAAATTAAAAAAAACTCACTGAGAATAAGTGCCAAAGAACAAAACATTTGTAATGCCAAGCAGTCTGGTCAAGCTCTGAAGAAATGTTCACACCATCCTGTCCTTGAAAGACGTTGCGCTGTGCAAAAACAATATATAACGGTGCAGTTCCCCCACAGACTGCCAACACTGTAACTGAGTAACGCCTCCTCCAGAGAGTCGTCCAGCCTGAAAAATCACCAGGACTGTCCATTTAGAGTCGTCTCCTCTTTGTTCACGGGGCAGGACCTAAAGAACAACGGTTTATTACAACTTAGTTCTCATCTATACGCTCCGGCCATCGTTGGGTCAAACCTGTAATGGATCTGTGTTAACATTGCTAGGAAACGGTCCAACCACGTTAATAAATCAAACGTGGCGTCTCGTGAAGCTGCAGCTGTTTTTAAACTAGTTGGCAAATCAAAACTGAGAGAAAATGCACAAATCTTCCACTGCAGTCGGGGTTTTGTGAGCATGTGACCAGCAAGCCGTGCAGCCACGTTCCAACAGCAACGTTTGGAGAATCACTGCTCATCTTTGGGAGCAACGCTTGAAAACTGTATTCTAAGCTGTTCACATTAACATGAATGTATACTGCCCATGTGTGGTGGCATTACAGAAAAAGCAGTATGCATAAACTTCAGGTGGCGTACAATGACGGCATGAGGATGCTGCTTAAGGTGCCGCGATGGAGTAGTGCCAGTCAGATGTTGGTCAATTCCAACGTACCAACTTGTGCTGCTGTGCTTCGAAACCTTATATACAGATGCATGTGCAGGCTAACAGACTCTGTAAATAGCATCATTTATACTTTGACCAAGCCAGTACAAAGCTCGGTTAGGTTCTCTTCTAGTCTGTGGAATCACTGGTGCCTTCATTTATATGGCAATGGATGAACATTCTACTTTTATTGTGTCTTGTTGGTGTTATTTTATTTTTGTTGCTGTTTTTTTTTTTGTTTACTATGGACCATGTGTGTTTGAAATAAAGTTTTTGATTGATGGAACGACCTCGGCTTGTTTTGTACCCACTTTGATAGTTGCTCACACGTATATGGTTTAGTCCAGGGCTATTCAACTGGTGGCCCGGGGCTCAAATCAGGCCCACGGGTGAAGTCAGTTTGACCCAACAATGGGTTCATTTTTAAATAAAACTAGATTTTAAACCATAAAACATTTTACATTATCAGATGCAATAGCACTGGGACCTGTCCATGGGTGTACTCCTCCTCTCACACAACAAGCAGTGGAGCTCCCCCCACGACCCCGCAGACATAGATTGAAGAAAATGGACGGATGGATCATCAGCGTGGTTTTAAGACTCGGACATTTTCCTCAAATGTTTTCTGATGGAGAAGAGCTCAAAATACAGCTCTAGTCCTCTGGAGGCAGGTTAAACACTGTTGCACTGGTTTGTATTAAACATGTTAAAATCTCCAGTGACTAGACTGTGTTCCTCTGTGACCCATAACAGGAAACTGTGAATCACCGCAAACATCACAAGGCGTTCTGGAGACCCATCATAAATGCTGCTTGCCACTCAGGTACTATGCTAAGAGATACTTAGGTCGTTTTGAAGTGGTATTCCAAGTAAAAAGTATTGGACAGGTAACCTCTGTTGCTGATGAAGCTCTTTGAACAGCCTCAGTTTGGAGAAACAAAGTTTCACTGATGATCTAAAGCCAGAAACTGCTGCTGTTGGAGAATGAACATTGAGGAACGAGCCTCCAAATGATCTCTAAAGGTTTGCAGAGGTTCAGTTTCCTCTTGTGCGTCACCGAGACTCAAATTTTGAACATGTTCAGAACATGTGTTCTCACATGCACAATGTTGTGGGCATATCGGGGTGTCCAGCTCGGTTACCAAAAGGAAGCAAAAAGTAAAAACTGTGTCTGAGTCACGGGCCACTTTCTTCTGATACATCAACTCTAGTCAGATACCTGGTGTCTTTTCTTGGTTGCAGGTTCATGAACAAGAGTTTGATGTGTCTCACTTGATGTTCTGTTGCTCTTTCCACATCCGAATCAATAATGATAGAATGATCCAGCTGGCAAGAGAAGTCTGTACTAAATGATGCATTTATCAGGTTATTTTAAGAAAAGTTTAGAAGAAAGACAATATTTTACATTTAAATGATCATCTTGGGGCACCAGATTTGACCCGAGGCTCTTGAGTTTGACATGTGTGAACTGGACAGCAGCTCTCCTTATGTCATAAGCACGGGGGCGGCTGCCAAGTGAGCCAGTGGATACGAAGTGGGCGGAGGTTGGCAACAAAACATTATGCATGGCCTGGAATAGTTTTCAAGTCGTGCACACAAAAATAGGCTGCGATTTTCAAAAACTGGCCACGCAAACATGGCTGCACGGTCACATCTACCCATGCTTCAGCGACACTGAAGATTTGCCAGTTTGCTCAGCCACTGAACCACTGGATTAATCACCGTGCACACGTATTTACATCAGACTTGATGGTTATTTGCAAGCACAAACGCAGCAGCTTGTTTGTCTTGAAGTGATGCCGTACTCACGTCTAGCAGGAATTTTACATTTCTGCTGAAACTAACTGTAATGTGAAACTAGTGGCAGCGTAAATGTTTATATTAGTCAGGACTTCGCATGAATTGATGCAAGATTTTATTGACGAAAGTTGCTTTTATCTCGTCAAGCCACTTGTAAACTAATAAACGATATTTCTCCAAGCTCAACTCATTCAAAGAGCTAACTGCAACCACTAACTAAAGTGCAATCATTTGCAAATCTCATCAAATCAAATCTTACTCACAACAGAACATGTACAATGATCAAATGTTGAAACATTATTGTACCATTTTAGAAAAAAATAGGTTTTAAATTTAATGGCAGCTATTTTTTCCTGTTGCCACAGTGAGCCCCCCTCTGCGTCTCCGTCCCCTGCATCCTCCGAGGACAGAGAGATGGAGGGCCAACAGAAGGCTGCACATTTAAGAGGCGCAGAGATGGGCGGAGGTTCACCAGTCTGACAAAAACTGCATCTTTTAATAGCGGAACAATTCCAGAAAAAATGTTCAACAGAAGACTTTGCAGTGATCTGCGTGCACACTTCTACACATTATGGTCTGCATACAGGTCACCGTGCCATCCTCAAATGCTCATTAAAGCTCTATCGAGCAAAGAAGAAGCCATATGTGACCACCATACAGAAATGCTGCCGTCCCCTCTGGATTAAAGCTCATTTCACATGGACCGAGGCAAAGTGGAGAACTGTTGTGTGCTCAGATAAGTCCAAATCTGAAATACCGTTTGGACACCAGGGACGCCTTGTCCTCTACCGGTATTAGTGCACAGTTCAAAAGCCAGACTCTCTGATGGTATGGGGATGCATTAATGCCTCTGATGTGGGCAGCTTATACATCTGACCCACAGACCCAGGACCCAGGAAGAACAGCTGGAATCCTACATCAGACAATGGGACAAGGTTCTCCTCCAAACCTCCTGCTGATCTCAGCTCCTACCAACCTACAGACAGTTGTTCAAAGTGAGATGCTTCACACTCAGTGGTGAACACGCCTCTGTCCCAACATTTTGAACTTCAGATTCAAAATGATCTGTTTCTCCTAGAAACGGTACAATGTCTTAGTTTTAACCTTTCACTTGTCCATTGGAATAAAATGTTGGTTTATTGAATTTGCAAGTCATTTCATTCTGTTTTTGTTACATTTTGCAGTCCAGTCATTTCTGAATGGGTAGGAGATATTAATTATTCACAAGTTTTACACAGAACATCACTTTAACTGCTCAGAATATCCCTTTATGTTCATTGTTAACCAATGTTTCAGACAGCTCTTGCTTTTTATAATTATCTTTTACATTTTCTGGCAGTTTCTGATCATTTGCTGCACTCCTGGATATTACAGCAAGTAATTTAACTCGCACACATGGCCCATTTGAACAGGAGGTGGATGTGTGTGGGCGTGCAGCCAACCTCAGACAGCAGCGTGAAGCTTTCATAAAACGAGTGGAACCATCCTCAAATCTTCCACTAATAAAAACATTTATTATCAAACCTGTTCAAGGTCCTAACGACCTTTAGCTTCAGTCAAAGCTTGAACTTTAGAGCCTGAAGTGTCACGCTTTAAGTTTTGTGTTTAGGTTTAGTTAGGTTTTAATCTGTTTCATTAACTCAAGTTATAACAACCTATACTGTGGCCAAGACTACAAAATAAGAGCCAAGTTGTTATAAACCAGAACTTAAACAGACGTGTCAGGTTCTCTGCTGCAGAACATCTGCGTCGGAGTGAAAATGTTGAGGAGCACGAAAAGCTCGGTCTGAGGCGAAGCTTCTTGTAGATTTGCTGGTTCTGTGTATTTACAGTGTGGTGAGAGTGTGACGGCTGACTGTGAGGCTCTACCTGCTGCGGAGGACAAAACATTTTATTTTCCTTTGTTTTCGTCCTGTGCGTTCTCTTCAATCACTAAAATCTGGACGTCTGACAAGGGTCCGCTGGCGTCCAGCTGCAGTCCGTGAACCCCTTCAGTCTGCACCTCCTGCGTCTCTTCCGACATCGTCACCTCCATCCCGCTCTGGACCACCATGGTGGCCTCATCTCTGCCCGGCTCACCGGCCAGCTGCAGCTCCATCACCCCCACCGCCTGTTCCACAGGCGTTGGGTTGATCTCGATGACCGTGTGCTCCTGGCCGCCCTCCACCCCCTGCTGCACCAGCACCGTGCCATCCACCACTTCAGCGCCGCTGGCTTGCTGGCTTAGGTGGACCAGCTCCATGGGGCTCATCACCGCCCCCAGCTGGCTGGTGTCCTGCACGGCAGTAGTGCCGACAAGCGTGAGGCCCGACGAGGGGTGTAAGGTGATGGCGTCGCCCTTTCCGTCTCCTGCAACCATGTAGCGAGTGAAGAGCTGCGAGCCAGCAGGGAGAAGCGTGACAGTGTTGGACGACCGAGCCAGAGAGGCGATGGGCAGCCCCGCCACGGTGAACGGCTGCCCCACGGAGGAGAGCGAAATCGGAGACAGAACAGTGAACTGCTGGGGCTGCAGGGCGGCCGGCTGACTGACGGAGGACGTCAGGAGGGTGGTGGTGGAGGCGGGCCTCTGCAGGCGGGAGCGCTTGGTCGGACGTTTGGTGGCGGGTTTGTTTTTGGTGGACTGTGGGTTGGAGAGAAGAGCTCGGACCTGCTGCTGCTTCCGCTGTTCTTCTAACTGAGCTTCCAGGTCTGCAAAAAGCACAAAATATCATTTTATTTGTTCAATATTAATTATATTTATCAGTATGCACCCGTGTGTTGTGAATTACTACCACATTCAATTTCAGCACATCTGTAAAGCTGACTAAATTGTAGCCATGTCTAGGCCTCTCGCGATAAACAATAAATTAATTAATCGCATGATAAATTAAAATTATCCAAGATCCAAAATTCACGGTTGAAACCCGTGCCTTCATGTAAAAAGTTGTTTTTCTCTGCAAAAAGAAGCTGAGAACTTGTTTACTGATTTTTTATTAAAAGCTTTGAGTGAAAAATGCTATGCTAAAGAGCTCAAACCACACCGAGCATCCGCCATTTTGAGAACCGATAAAAAGGAGAGACAGCCCATGTCACGTCAAGGGGCCTCCCTGACATTTTTCTTAAAGGACATGCTGCTCACTCCCTCACTATCCATCCTTCAGTTCAAACAGTCTTATACTGCCATTTGGTGGTCAAAAAAGGTACTACACAAAATTAACCAACATTTATTTTTAAGTTTGACAATAATTACTAATTATTGTCAAATTTCAAACAATATTATCATTTATCACAATAATTTCTGAGACAATTAATCGTCCAGTAAAATTTGCTATTGTGACAAACCTAGCCATGTCCACATGTTCTATGGGCAGATGGCTCTTTTTATTGAAATATTATGTATCAATTGTACAGTTAGCCCAAAGAACTCAAAGCTGTAGCCTCAAATTACTCCATTCCTAAACACCAAAGTCTATAAAATTCATGTCAAGTATGTACTCCTACACTGCTGTGAAGAAATGAAAAAAAATGGTTCAGTTGTGCATGGTACACTGTAAATTTTGAATGACGATAAAGTTTATATTATTATTATTATCATTAAATGTTTCCAGTCAAAGGCTGGGCTGTGATGGTTTGCTGAATGAACATTTGTTGCACATCTTTTGAATATGCTCAAAATTCAAGTTACAAGAGAGCACGTTTCTGTGACTCTTGCTATGAATTTAAAAACCACCACAAAAGGTTTGAGACATTTTGGAGTCTCTTTTGCAAATTTGCCAACTAGACTCTGGTATTCACAGCCAAGAGAGAGAATAAGCTTGTTCACAAAACAGTCCCACTGAAGATCCTATCTCACTGAGCTGCAACTGTTGAAACATATCCCTCAAAACTGCAGGAGAATTTTGAGAATAAATGTTGGACGCAGCTCATCCAGGACATGCACTGCTCTCTACTCTCCCCTCTGGCAGGCTGACAACAATCCGAGCTCGCTCGAGCAAACTGAGGAACAGTTTTATTTAGACCCCAGACATGAGTCCTCTTGGTAATGTAATGGATGTCATTTTATATCATTTTAGATTTTTAACACGTTTGTTCTCCTGAGCATATTTTAAATGTTATATTTAATTCCAACCAAAGTTAAGTCAGGTCCTCTGAATGGTTTCTTTGTTTTGAAACATTTCATCTTTCATCCAAAGGACTTCATCAGTCCGAGGAGCTACAACAAACTTTGTCCCACAAGCAGCACCTTATAGTGGGTCAACCAGTTTGATGGTGCTAAGATGGTTTCTGGAGTCTGCCTGAATCCTTACTTCATTTACTGAGCATGAACTTTGATGTTTTGAACCACTTTGGCCATGGCTGCCTCAGAGGAGTCGACAGGGGAGAAGGTGGACTCCAGAAATCATCTTATCACCATAAAACTGGTTGACCCACTATGTGAGTAAGCTGCTTGTGGGACTGAGTTTGTTGTGGATCCCGGGACTGATGAAGTCCTTTGGATGAAGGACGAAACGTTTCAAACAGAAACCACCCAGAGGACCTGACTTAACTTTGTTGGATTTTTTACCTGGATTATTGGGCATGAACTTTGATGTATATTTAATTGTTGATATGATTTTAATGAGGATTGGTATGTGAGTTTTAGAATGGTTAGCGTTTTTATGAGAGCTTTAATGTGTGACAATAATAGTGCTGCTATTGGAATGTTGCCAATTACATTTTGTTTTGTTGTTCTTCAGTGCAATGTCAATAAAGTTCAATTGAATTGCACTGAACATTGTGCTGCAGTCTCACTGAACTCTTGAGTGTTTGCGACCAAAAGACCAACAAGCTGTAAAGCAGTGGATTTGGAGCGGCCAGTTTTTTAAATCTTGTCTTGGTTTTATGTGCACGGCTTGCAAAGCCGCATTCTTGGCTGTGCACATCAACAGCATAAATCTGTATAATAACATGCAGTGGTTCCCCTACCATTATACATATCAACAGAACTGAGTGCCCTGCCTACTGAATCCCCCACCCCCACCCAACCTCCCTCCCACCTCGACAACTGTCGGTATTGATGTAGCGTGGAGTGCAATACATACGCGCTAGCAAAAATGCTACTGACGTATCCCCCCACCCCCGTAGATAAAATCCGGCAGCAACGTAGCGCTAAGCTAGCAGGCGGGCAACACAGAGGCAACTCTGTCCCGTCCTCGAAACCCCCTGCCCATCCCCTGTTCAACAAAAATAAAATATGATGAGTGCCCCGCCAAGGGAATTGATCTAGGGGGAAACACTGTCCTCTATGTTTTTTTCCTGGCACCTGCATTTCTAACATCCTTCTACCAGTATACCCACTGTCCCTCCTCTGGACATGTCCAAACCCTCTTAGTCTGGTCTCTAACTTTATCTCCCAGTTGTTCAACCTGTGCTGTACCTCTGATGATCTCATTCCTAATCTTATCCATCTTGTCACTCCTAAGGAGAACCTCAACATCTTCATTTTTGCCACTTCCAGTTCTGTCTCCTGTCTTTTTGTCCATGTCTCTGTCTCCAGACCATACAACATAGCTGGTCTCACCACTGTTTTGTAAACTTTTCCTTTGACTATTGCTGACACCCTTTTGACACAAATCACTCCTGAAACTTTTCTCCTTCCACTCCATCCTGCCTGGACTCTCTTCTTCACCTCTTTACCACACTCCAATTTTCCTGGACAGTGGACCCCAAGTACTTGAAGTCCTGCACCTTTGTGACCTCTGCTCCTTGTAGCCTCACTGTTCCACCTTCTCCCTCTCCCTACACATGTACTCTGTCTTACTACGGCTGACTTTCATTCCTCTTTTTTCAAGTGCATACCTCCACCTCTCCAAGTTCTCTTCCACCTGTTCCCTGTTCTCACCACGATCAGTGTCATCTGTAAACATCATAGTACACGGGGATTCCTGCCTGACCTCATCTGTTAGTCGGTCCATCACCAGAACAGACAAGAAGGGGCTCAGAGCCGATACTTGATGCAATCCCACCTCCACCTTGAAGCTATCCGTCACTCCCACAGCACATCTTACCACTGTCCTGCTGTCCTCATACATGTCTTGTACCAGTCTAACATTTTTCTCTGCCACTCCAGAGGTATACAATCCAACAATGTTCAGTCAGGTCATCTGAACAGTTTCTTTTTATTTTGCTGAAATGTTTCACTTTCCATCCAGAAGGCTTCATCAGTCAAGGAAACGCACAACAAAACTGATTTTTCCCCCAACATCTTACTCCAAAGTGGAACAAACCAGTTATGTTGGTGCTAAGATGGTCTCTTCGGTACACCCCCTCCTCTGGTGCCGGCCCTCTCCCTCGTCGACAGTCATGTCAAACTGGTTCAAAACCAACAAAGTCCATGCTCAACAATTCAGGTATACAACCAAACAATTTTCAGTCAGATCATCTGGACAATTTCTATTTTTTTGTGCTGAAATGTTTCACATTCCATCCAGAAGGCACACACACAATGAAGTTCTTTCTGACCCTCTCTGTACTTCTCCATCAGGATCCTCAAGGCAAAGATGGCATCTGTGGTGCTCTTTCATGGCATGAAACCATACTGCTGCTCACAGAAAGTTACCGCTCATCTAAAAGTAGCATCTGGCTTATTTCTTCAGCTTGTATAACTTCCCATCAAACACATCATCTGAAACTAAAAACTGGGCATGTGTTTTTCATTTTGTACTCACTAGTGAGGGTGCTAAGGATCTGCTCCTGGCTGGGATCCGTCTGCTGCCTCCTTGTTTCCAGAATCTTCTTGACCAAGTCCAGCAGGCCAAAGACTTGGGCGATGTTACTGAGCACGGCCACCTCTACCAGACAGGAATCTGGGATCAGTGTATTAACCAATCAAAAATCCACTCGTTCAGTCAAAAAGAAGTAACAAATTATGTCAATCACAATAAAATGGCTGATTGACTTAACACTATAAAACTGTTTTTCTTCATCAGCTTCTAACATCAGCTGAAATTGCTCTAATTGTGTGAATGCTGATTCAGCTATCACTATTGACCTTTGTTTGTTTTTCCGTTCATTCAACCTTTATTTATACAGGTTAATCTCATAGAGCCTCGGGAACTCATTTACAAGAGAGACCTGATTATTTTAACAAAGAGTGATGTCAACAGTGTTTGTGTTTGACAACAGTCCATGTTTTGGAATAGTAAAACTACCGGTACTTCTGCATATTTTGTATTTTTAGCTGGTCATATAGCAAAACATTTAGCTCTTTTAAGAGATGGGTGCCATCACTTTTGTTTTTTTTAATTTAATTACACATTTTTTTCTCCATGGAAATCCACTGAGATCTCTTGGAGTTTTTCAAAAACAGTTTTTTCTATAAAACAAGATGTAAATTAGCAAAAACACGAGTTGAAACGCTGTGTGCTCCTGCAGCGGCACTCTCTTTCTCGCCCCCTCAGTGCAGGGAGGTCTGTCAGCTGAACTGATGAACTGACGGCATTAACTGGCTCGTGAGGTTAAACAACAACCAACGGCTTTATTACAGAGAAAATACTGATGATGCACAGAAACTTTTGTTAGCTTTAAAAAAATAGTTTCTAATGAGGATTGTTAAAGTGAGTTAGTTTATTATAGTAAATGACATGAGGGAAACGTCCCGACACACATTGAATGCACCGCGCTTCATTTCACACCAGCTGAGTTGTGCTCCGCCTCTTTTGGTTCCTCTCAAAGCATCTGAGCAGGACGTGGACGCACTGCTCCGTGCAGCCTTTTCATGGAACTGGCTTTTGAATGAGCCTAATCTTTGTCATGATGGAGAACAACATGTCGATCCTTCAGGGGGGTATCAGAAACAGTCAACATTTGTTTTATTTTGAAGAGCGTTGACCAGTCCTTGACCCCCTCACCTCCGCACCCCCCCAGTGTACAGTTTATGCACTTGTGAAAATGAAGAAAACATTGACTTGCCCCTCAAACTTTTCATGCTACTTTACCACTAAACATTCTGCTATCCTTAGCTAGCCTGTTGCTACTATTATCTTTTAGCTAGCATTTTGTAACGTTTAATTGTTAGCTAGCCTTTTGCTACATTTAGCTTTTAGCTGGTCTTGTAGTATATGTTAGCAGCAATTTGTTACTTTTAGCTAGTATTAGCTACCATTTTGTTACTTTTGGCCTTTACCTAACATTTTGATATTTTTCACTACTATTTTGTGTGTGTGTGTGTGTGTG